TTTGGAGTCCTATTTGCATATGTCTTCCGGCTAGCTCACAGTGAATTACGGGGTCTTCCACCTGTAAGCTTCACTCAACTCACCGTCAATGAAGACTCGTTTGGGATCGCCACTGACATGTTTCATGAGTTTCTGGATGTTTCGCAGATCACATCCTGTTCCACAGATCGCATTTACGTTGGGATCACCGTTGGAACTCATCCTCACACAAGCTGGAAGATCCAGCGATTCAGCCAGCTAGAAGAAAATTCTGTGCGATGAAAAATGTCGAGTACGATTTTGTGTCGGACAATGCAGATATAAAATTCATTCAGATGAAAATACCTTAGCGATCGCTACCCATTTCCTCTGGTCAAAAGTGAGCTGTGTGACTCCACACGCGGACTGAACATCCATTTTGAAGAAAGCCAAATCACTCTCGTGACCTGAACATGATGCTGTGAAATATATAACTGAACTTTTTTCAATCAATGATACAAACTTTCTAAGAATTCTGTTGATTTTTGATGCATGTAATGCAACTTTACTAAAGTTATTAAAGCTGACCTTCACAGACTCCATTAACTTCCATCTCGCCAACAGCACACTGACATTCGTATTTCGCGTATTTCTCCTTGGCATTGTTAACTACCTGAAGCAAACACCGCTCTCTGGTTCCCATTCCACTCATCGTATTGATGTCCAGTGTTTCCACTTTCGAAAAATCCTCGCCAGCTCTTCCAGCTGTCTGTATTGGAACTACTACGGGGCTTGGAATATTTGGAGCTGTAGTCTTCGTGCTTCCGCCAGTGATGCCTTGTCCTCGGTCGGTTGGAAAAGGTGGTGATGTTTTTGAATTTGGTAGATGAGTGATTATCAACGGCGTCCCTCCATTGGAACTGAGATCTATATGAGTAATGGGTGGTTGGCCATGATCTCCTTTATCTGTTCTGATCACAATATCGGGGCTCGAAGCTTCGTTCTCCTCTTTGTCGGTTGTAATCTCTCTGCTGGCTGAGTTCTGGCCCTGACTCCCTTTCTCTTGCTTAGTTGAATCAGGTTTATGCTCTTCTTTGGTCTCATCAGATTCATCTGGTGGGACTTCACCGTGGAGGTCGTCGGGCTGCCGTCCTCTGCTGGAATCTCTTGTGTCCACAACCGTGACGGTGATGTGGGTCACCACCTTGCCCGGCATCATGGTGGTAGTGGCGCGACCCCTAATATGACCGACGGAACCCCGTCTTCTCGTGGTCTTGCTCTCTCCTGTGCCAGGTGTTGTGGTAAGCGCTGGCTTAGGTGTGGCAGAAGATTTGGACTGTGTTTCTTGAGCGGATGAAGAAGACGCGGTTACGAGCTGGCTTTCAGGAGTAGAGGAGGTAGTGGACGGGAGATGTGAAGATGCGAACGGGTCGGTCGGAGTTGTGTGATCACCAGAGTCAATCGCATTTGTGATCGTTACTGGCGCTTGCGTTGAAGTGGACAGAAAATTAGAATTGAATGGCGTAGAGTGTGGGAGCAGTGTAGGGTAAGGCGGAGGCAGTGGTGGTAGACCGGTAATACGCGAAAGGTGGGCTGGAGGTGTAGGATTGACAGGCGCAGGATGAGTGAAAGCAGGAGCAACAGTACGCGACGGCAGAGGAGGAAACAATGTAGGAAACTGAGGTGAAAACCCAGGTAGTGCAGCATTGGTGCTCTTCAAAAATGCTTCCGAATAATTGAGCGGCGGAGGCATTTTAACTTCCTTCGTTCTGTTGTAGTAACATCGATACGATCCTTCCAGTGTTCTAACGTAGCTCTGATCTGAAATACGTTTCACAATGTAAAGTAAGCCGAAAAGTAGCACAACTCGGCACAGCTGGCACCGGATTGAAACGAATATTGTTTTGGGCGAGAAAGCAAAGGAGGCACCGGGTCTCGAACGAGGCGGAGCAGCAGAAGAAATCGCAAAGGGGTATGCATCGTCATCAAGTCCATGTTGCAAACGCAATCTTACACATTCACATCAGTATGAGCAAGTTAGGAGACTTGACCCCGCAAGCGTGCTCTAGAACAGCGCGGAAATTTGATAGTGTTCACTAGAGTAAATGCTTTGTTCACAACGAACACGCAAGTGATACCGACTTTAGTCATGTGCATGAACGAGCGGACTACGTTCGAGAAATCAATGGAAACACATGCGAATAAAAGCCGCGGTAAACTTTTCCACAAAATACCTTGGAGCGTTCCAGCTGGGGGGTCAACTGAACGTTATCCTTTGCTGACATGGTCTTGAAAATCTTTTCGCAAATAGTATACATATATTGAAAGCTTCATAAAAGCATGAAACAATTCCATACTTTTTGTTCTATGCCTTTCCAAAGGTCTTAAAAAATCTTCTTAAATAGCGCCATCCTGCTCCTATCCCAAAGCACGCCCTGACCGGACCGGGAAAATTTTGCAAATGCGAGCAAACAATAGCTATACAATACATACTTTTATATGTACGCACCATGGGAAAAATTTGTTTAGCTCAAAAATGTCCTAGAACTTTTCTGGAAAGCCCTAGTTTGAAAGAGCGCAAAAGCCCTCAAAAATAGAATGGAGCAAACTATGCTCATTGTCTAGCCCATGGTCGATCGAATAGTATATGAATTGTATTCGGAAATTTTCTGTGAAGAAGTATTCCCGAGATAACAA